TAATATAATGAAAATGGTTCACGAGGAAGCACGCAAGCAGCTCGTGGGTAATGTAATTCGATAGCTTAGCGTGAGCTGCACGTTCCCCGAGTGATTTACGACTTATAAATGTTGCGGATAGTAGTTAGACACGGTTCAAATGGCAATAAAACAATAAGATATAATTATAAATAGATGTATAATGTTACGAACTTAGAGCTATTTAGGATAAACGAATGCAGTGCATGTTACAATTTGAAGTCATTCTAGAAATAAAAGAATGTTAATTTAGGTTTATTTCGATTTTTTTTTTGGTGGTTACCAGGTAGGTCGAATTGATCGATCCCGATTTGAGATAGGGTAGAGAAAATAACGTATAAACTATAAGGATTTAATGAAGAAAAAACGTATGAAATGCATTTAGGAGGTTTTAGGGATTACACGAAGGAAATTTAAGAATTTTGACACGTGACGTATTGAGAATTTGAAATTGTCCAAAGCCGATATTTTTGTTAATTTACGCTATTTGCCAACAAGATTGACACACACCATTTTCATTTTTCACACAAATATGTTTTAATATATATACAACAGCACAATTTACAATAGCAATTATTACGAATGATTACCACAAATAGAGTTTTATAAACAAACATTTCACTAACTTACAAAAAACATAAAATATTATTTTTAGTTCAGAGTCTCCTTGATATCCAGCGAGTTAACTTGAAGTCGATGTACACATAGTTGCCGAGAAGCTAGCTATCTTTGTCAGACACTGAATTGTTGGACCACTAATGTCCGATGAGAATTCAGTAATACTTTCGGAAAGATACTAACGTCCGATGAGAATCCACTGACGTTCGAAAATCGTAAATTTTCCGGTTGATAAGAGATAGCAAAATCACGATTTATAGCGTACATGGCTATAGCGGGTTCCTAGCCAACTTTTTAAGTTCACTCTCTTTTGGTGCATCGCTTTGGCTGCTTTTATAGGCACGGGAAAGTTTTTCTCGAAAATTCCGACAACAATTCTGAACTATATTTAACCAGTTACGGAAGTGGATATATTGTCGATTCTTATGTTCACCAATATTCTACAACCTGGGAGAATTGGCTGGAGTTTCGCCATACGTAACTAACACTGTAAGCTAGGCACGTTTTTAAATATAAATTCAATCCAAACAAACGTTATCATTAAAATAATTATATAAGAAATTCGTTACACGCAACACACATATATACAGCACTGTAAGTTACGCATATTTTTAAATACAAACTTAATCTAAATAACGTTCATATTAAAAATAAATACTTGACAAAAAATTTGTTACAGACATGACGAAAAGTATTTTTAATTTTAACATGAAAATTACTTTGCACGTGGACTATTCAAAACAAATACTAATATATTCATGGACAAATCTTTATTTTATTTTATTAAAAATACGTCACTAAGAAATATGACTTTTTGTATGTGAAAGACTTGTAATATGAACTGAAAGACTACCAAATTTCGTGAAGATATACCCAATGTATAGAGAGTTATAAGTATTAAATTTATATCAACTTTAAATTAGTACAAAAGGTCACGTGACTCTGTCAAATTGACCGACCCTGTGTTGAAAAGTGACATCCAGAATGTAGCTTCACGGGAGTTGAAGGAAGTGCAGAAGATAGACCCTTCACCACAGAAACTTTGGGGCAGTGCCAGAGAGAAAGTCGAGCACAAGATAAAGAGGAAAGAGACTTGAAACAGAGGAACAGAAAGGAGTCTTGTACCAGATCTATCAAAGCAGTTCTACTGCATAAGCCAAATCCATCAAAGACAGTCAGAAGCACTTCAATAACAAGAAGGCCAAGGGTCGACGTTTGAAGGTCGAACAGAAGTTCTTAATTCTGCTACATTCAGCTAACAACAAACTCACTCTACAGTAGCAAGGACCTTTACAGTACAATAAATGGTAAACAGAATGCACTATATGGTGAAAGTGGATTTGAGATCAAGGTCTACCATGTCAATCTGTTGAAGATGTACCCGAGAGAGAGAAAAAGACCTAACGGGTGCAGCTATTGAGGTACATTTGGACATGGCTGATATGGCTGTCAGAGAAGCAGAATCTGAAGACTTTGTTATAGAAGATAAAAACCTACTAGGCCTAAGACCACTCGTTAGAGATGAGATGTACAAGGATGTCAAAATAAGTGAAGAACTGACTGGCAAGAAGAAGAAAGAGTTACAAGATCTACCACGCCAGTTTACAGATAGATTAAGAAATAAAGACCTCAGGTAACACAAAGTTAAGATGAAGACAAGGTGAAACACTACCAGAGACCCTATATGAGGAGAGACCATCAAAGTGACCATATGAGGAGACTTATTGTTTAAACTAAGAACAGTCTTTGTATATAGTGTAAAAATATTGCAAATATTTTTCTTGAAGAAGGGCTTATTGTTGGATAAACATGACTGTTTAGTAAAGGCATTCTACTTAATTTATGTTTTGAGTTAATATTTAAAGAGTGTTTAGTATTCATAACAAGGGTGTTAAAAGTTAATAATTTTAGAGGCAATAGTTATGACAAGTTTGGTTACGTAACTCGGTAAGTTTCGTGCATTGTGTGTGTGGTTCAATTGTTGCAATATTTTTGACACCTAGTTACTCGAATTTTTGCTATATTTCTCGTTACCTTGAAGGAGTATTGTTACGTTATAGCGTCGATCGTGTAGTTTGTTGAAAATTCGAGGCCCCATTGAACAAGATATATATATCTATGGGTGACCAGTCAAGAACAAGTTAAGTGTGAAGTAGAGAGAAAAGTGAAGTGAAAATAAAGTTCAGTCATAAAAAATTTGGGAAACATGAAATTAGCCAACGTATGAGTGATTAGCCGTAACCGGCGATATTTTAAAGTGAGTTTCACAATTTAATAAAGATAAGGAGAATAATATATCTTGTCAAAGAGTGTTCTAAAGTAATTGAACCCGTCTGTGTGAGCTTTAACGTAAAGGAGACAATTATTTGAAGTTCAGGATACAGTTACTGTAATCCATAAGTGATAAAGGCAGAGTGCCTGTTTTAAAAGTCTGATTACTCAGAAACTCATAGTTGCTGCATCTGGCGCTTGACTGGTATGTTTTCATAATGAATAGTAGGATTACCTGGTGGATTCTAAATACTGTTTAGTTTGAGTGTTATTATTTAGTTTATTGAATGATTTAATAATTATTTAGAGTTCATAACAACAGTGTTCAAAGTTAATTATTCTAAAAGCGATAGTTGTGACAAGTTTTGTTACATAACTCTGAATGAGTCATACATTGGGTATGTAGTTCAATTGTTGTGAATTGACGTCACGTTACTCGAACCTTCTATATTTCTCTTGTAGCTTTAAGTGAGTATTGCTATATCATACCATCTCATAGTCTGTAGAAAGTTCTAGGCCTCAGTTGGGTAATGTATATATAGGCGACAAAGTTAACTTAGAGAAAGTAAAAGTGAAGGAAGATTGCATGATTGCTAGTTTAGCTATAAAGAGCGATTTCTAAAGTGAAAGCTTCACGGTTTGTATTGTAAAAAAAAAGAAATAGAAAAGAATAGTTTGTTTTGTCACTTGGATTGTAAAGTAATTGAACCAGCCTGTATGGAGTTTTGACGTAAACGGGAATTATTTAAAATTGTGGATACGACTGTGGTAACACATGGGGTAAAATAAGTGATTTTATAACTGATTCTATTGTGATACAAGAGTAGAGAAGAAATAATTTGCCTTGTCAATTGGGTTTTAAAGTAACTGAACCAGCCTGTTGGACTTTTGACGAAAAAGAGAATTATTTAAAGCTATTGATTCGACTGTGGTAACCAGTAGTGTAAATATTTTTACACTGTTGAAATTTATCGCCAAGAAGTCACAGACACCTACTGTAAAGAATCCAGCCCGTATACGAAACCTGAAAATACCCATTTCCTTCTCCAGTTACATAAAGTATGTGATGATTGAACGAGAGGTATGACTTGGAGCCTTATCTTGGTGGACCTAAACCTCGTTGGCATAATTTCCTTTTGACGATTTGCATACAGTTTTTGCCATTGATCTTTGTGTTCGTGGATTCTTACCTGTTACAAGACGTTACACTATGTTTACGACTTGTTGCAGGAATCTTTCTGAATGGTACTGATTTTTCATGTTCATCCATCTTCCTTTGTATTTCAATGTCATTAAATAAAAGAGATATCCCAGTCTTGGAAACTCTATATTTCTAATCTGAATATATCTCTTCGAGTGTTTGATATTTTGCCTCGGAAAGGGTTGTTACATACTCTTATCAAAAGCGATCGGTATGTGGTGGCATTATACTCATTACAAAAAACACCAAACAATGCTAAAATGTAATTCTGATACATCCATGTTACCGTAAATTTATATTGTGTGTGTTTGTTACCTGATTTTCTTATCATGTATTAAATATCGTTTTGATATAACGTACTCAACCCTTACACTCACAACCGAACTATTTTAAAGATTACTTGGACGTAAGACGTTTAAAATGTAAAAGGTATTCAATACCAAACAAAACCTGGATGCGGAAAATGTAAAACCTTGCAGTTTGGTATATGTATATTCTAATAACAGAATCAAATTGAACTTGATGAACTTTAAATGAGGTTATTGTTTTCTTTCTTTCTTAGTATAGTTGTGAAATGTTCAACTTAGGTATTGTGTTCCCTAACTGTATGAAATACGTATATCATATTTGTTACATAAACTTTTTTGTCTCAAAAAACAGATTCCACAACTTCAGAAATGGAAGAGAGTCCCAATACATCAGATATGACAACACTTGGAAATACGACTTGGTCAGAAGCTGAAAGTACGACTTGGACAGAAGCTGGAAATGTGACGTGGACAAAAGGTGGAGATACGACTTGGACAGAAGCTGGAAATGTGACTTGGACAGAAGCTGGAAATGTGACGTGGACAGAAGCTGGAAATGTGACTTGGACAGAAGCTGGAAATGTGACTTGGACAGAAGCTGGAAATACCACTATTACACTTTCACCTGGAACAGGAAATACAACAGAAACAACAGCGAACCCTACACATGAAACTCCTGAACCAGGATCAAAGAAACTGAGCAAGGGAGCTATTGCTGGAATTGTCATTAGTGTGATTTTAGGCTGTAGTGTTATTGTTGGAGGAGTGATCTGGTTAATAAGAAGACAAAAACGCAAAGAAATGGCAGGAAACATTATTGGACAATAATATTTAATGTAAAACCTAGTTTGAGTTTAAAATGTATTTTGCTTACTGATTTTGAGACTATAGAGAATTGAGAGTCTACAATTTAAAAACATTTGTCCGAGAAAGCACAATTTCCCAAACCGTAAGGTGACTACTTCAAAAAGTCATGACTACATATCATTGTGTATCCCATAACAAAAAACAAACAATGAAGTAATAGTTTCAAGGTAAATGCAAATAATTTATTATTCAAATGGACTTATCTTTTTGGTCACTAAAGACGGTGCATTTTTCTGTCTGAATTTTTGAAAAGTTTGTTAAAATAGTAGAATTTTATCTTAAATTGGTACACTATAAAATTTAGAAACAAATATTGTACAGCATGATCAATATGGATGTCGTTAGCTGTACAACTGCTCGCTATATCACTGTTAAAAAAAGATTAATAAGCCTGTTTAGTGACATCTGGTTTCAGCTTAAATTCTGTGTAGCTTTATCTAAATTAAGAATAAAACTTTTGAAAGTGTTTCTTTGCTTTAAATATGAAACTAATTGTCTGTTTACTTCATAAGAGCATATATAAACATAATAAAATCAGCATGTTCAAGTTAGTACCCCCGTTGGATAGAGGTAAGTCTTCAGATTTGCAACATCGATTCACCTCTATTGACACAGCAGATTATCCGATGTGGCTTTGTTATAAAAGAAACACACACACATATGCGTTTAAACTAATTTTAGTAGTAAATGAAAGAGATCATATTAGGAATCTATGTACTATCCTATGTTAAGTTAATTCATTAATTTTTTAAAGGAGATCTAAAATAGCTATCATCACACACGTAGATAGACAAATGAAGCAATGAAATGGTAGAATGTATCCTATGAGAAAATAATAGGCCCCGCATATGATAGAATACGCCTTATATCAGAGGTAAATTTCAAGACGTCAGATATAAAATAAAACAAAAACTTCAGGATTAGAAAGAAGCTGGTCGGTGATCGAAAAATCCCAGCATCTAAACTATCATTGGTCTTCTGTAGACAGTTAGATGCGCGTAAGTAGTAGCCTTTAATGAAACAGAAAACAGGTTACTCAGTCTTTTGAGGTTTCACTGACCAAGGTTTATAGCGTTATATTATTTAGTTCAAACTGATTCAGAATTTATAATATATATATATACATAAAGCAAAAAAATCCGTGAGATACACGATAATGGAGTTGACTACCCTCTCACCCTCATTATTGCTGTTATTGAGCATTTATTATCTTTGACGAAATAATGTTAACTACATTAATAGATGGCGCCACGTCCTTTCACCGAAAAGAAAAAAAAAACACCAATTTTATATAACACAACATACACACAGTGTGGGGGAAGTCAAACTAAAGTCTTAAATATCCCAGAGAGTGCGCTAGCATTCTCTATGGCTGAATGCAATGAAAAAAATGGCCGTTAGTATTGGAATAATAAATATACTCTGGTGAAGTTTCTACTCCAACAGCCACCATAAGGCTCATATTAACAGCTGTTTCACGAGTTATACCCACTTCCTACTTTGATTCGTGACCTTTCAACGAGGGCCCGCAATACACTCATGCGGCCAATGATTGTCAATTAATTAATCACATGAAACACTTGGAAGGACATTAAGAACAGGGTGTAACAGAAAGCACCCCTACCATCGCACAGTTTCTACCATGATTTAAGTATAAGAATATTAAGTTCTTAAAACGTATACAACATTTTGGGTGAAGTAAGAATGAATACTGTAATAAAATGATATAAATAAATTATGTGAAAGTTTGGATTTTTGTTAGTTATCATAGCATACATCCCACATTGTTTTAAGCTCATAACCCTATGGATACCTCAGCTTGTTATCTATATATGTTGTTGGAATAGTAACAGCAGACAATAATATTGATGTTTTTTTTAAAATATAACACCATGATGAGCTTACCTTTCTTTCTCAATATAGAATTTATGGTTTTAATGCAGTTTGGCTTTTTAAACAGGCTGAATCAATTAAATATAATTTTGCTATTAAAAATAATAAGAAATGCTAAATTTCTGACATATTAACACTACACGTAGCTTATTTGACTCCATTGATCGTGATTAATTGTTCGTTAGATATTAACATATCAACAATGTGCTTCACCCATTGTACTCTGTTTGTTTTAATTATTACACCGTGCTTGGTTCATTGAGTTCTTTACGTTTTCTCGTATCCACACCTCGTTTGATTCATTTTATTCGAATAACTAATTATAGATTATTAAATAGAGATGAAGGTCCGGCGAATATCTGTCTAAGAATGTGGCGAGACCTGTTCTGATATTTATGCACAAATATCTGTTTAAGAATGTGGCGAGACCTGTTCTCATACTTATACACAAATATCTGTTTAAGAATGTGACGAGACCTATTCTGATACTTATACACAAATATCTGTTTAAGAATGTGGCAAGACCTGTTCTCATACTTATACACAAATATCTGTTTAAGAATGTGACGAGACCTGTTCTCATACTTATACACAAATATCTGTTTAAGAATGTGACGAGACCTGTTCTCATACTTATACACAAATATCTGTTTAAGAATGTGGCAAGACCTGTTCTGATACTTATACACAAATATCTGTTTAAGAATGTGGCAAGACCTGTTCTGATACTTATACACAAATATCTGTCTAAGAATGTGGCGAGACCTGTTCTCATACTTATACACAAATATCTGTCTAAGAATGTGGCGAGAACTGTTCTCATACTTATACACAAATATCTGTCTAAGAATGTGGCGAGAACTGTTCTCATACTTATACACAAATATCTGTCTAAGAATGTGGCGAGAACTGTTCTGATACTTATACACAAATATCTGTCTAAGAATGTGGCGAGACCTGTTCTGATATTTATACACAAATGCCAAATTACACACAGGTCACGTGATATTTAAGAAAATATAAAATGTGAAATTTATCTCTTGCAACTTCACTATTGAAGATGACGTGTAACACGTCGAAACATGTAGAGTCATTATGTTGATATGAATTAAATTGTGTATTGATTTTAACGTTGTATATTTATTATTTTAACTTTATACACAAGTGCCGATATGAATATTTATATATCATGTTAACCATCTGTATGATTCTCTGTTAAGCTTTCGTCTCACATTAACACTATTCTTGATTCATTGCACTCTTAACGTTTTCAGTTATTAACACTGAGCTTGGTTCACTGTGCTCTTTAAACTTTTCACACATTAACACTATGCTTGATTCTTTGCGTTCAAGAACTGAAATACTAACACTGTGATTGGTTCATTGCACTCCTTAAATATTTCATACATTAATACCGTGCGTGAGTCATTGTGATATACGCTCTTACATGTAAAACTGTACATGATTTATTTGTGTTACAAGGTTTAGAATATTAGCACAAATCTATATTTATTTGATATAGGTTTTCAGGTATTAACACTATACTTGATCCAGTGTGCTCTAAGATACGGTATATTAATCGTGCTTGATTCGTTGGGCTCTAACATTTATCGTATTGATACTGTGCTTGATTCATCAAATTTATTGTTTCAAGATTTGTATGTTTTGAAAACTTACTTATATTGATTACAGAGAAAACCAATTTTTATGTTTCCATGTAACCATAATACGGCAATTTGAACTATTTTAAGTATACAAACATGACTTTGTCGTTATAGTTACATTAATGAACTAATTGTTTTAGTTTCATTTTATGGATAATTCGGTTTTAAATTTACGACATTACTAAAAGAGCATAATTAATAAGATAATCATAATTTCTTATCTGTTTATTACGCGTTTTTTTACGTATTGAAGATTATCACTGTGACATCTACAGTTCTGTGTAAAAGTCTTAGGACAGGAGAGTATTTTGTCATTCTTTCCATTTTATGAGACTAATTCTTCTATGGCATTAAAAAAAGAAAATGTCAACACTATGGTAATGCTTCACTGATCCCTGTTGACAACTGAATGAGCCAGGGTGAGAATACTTATCATTCTTTAGAATTCACATGTACTTGTACCAAGGCATTTAATAAGGGTTCTGCTTGAATTAACATACTGATCAAATTTAGGGTTTGAATTAACTGTCATGGTACCCATGCAGTGTCTTAGCTAGCATATGGTACAGGTATATGCTAGAATAAATTAATATAAAAGCACTCCACAAATAAACCTTGATAAAAACAGTGTTTAACATTATATATTAAGTTTTGTTGTCATGATACTGGCCAAAAAGCGTAGAGAATTGTCAATAGAGCAGAGGGTTCTCATAAATGCTTTACGTAATGCTGATTGGATTCTCCGACAAATTTCTGCAGACTTGAAATGCTCCCCAAACACTGTCAAGTACACCCTAGATCGTGAAACCGAAACAAGTAAATTTGAAAATAGGAAAAGAAGAGGCAGAACACCTAAACTCAATGGTACTGATGTTAAATATCTTCATTTATGCAGCCTTAGGGACAGAAGGAAGACTCCACTGATCTCAAGCATGAGATAAACGACCATGTACCAAACGACAGAAAAGTGTCCAGATCTACAGTATCAAGAAGACTCAACGAGAATGGAATATTTGGTCGTTTAGCAGTTAAAAAAACCTTTACTCCGATCTCCAAGTATTGTCAAAAGATTGAAATTTGCTAAAAAATACAAAAACTGGAGAATTGACTATTGTAGAAGGGTGTTATGGACGGATGAGTCCAAGTTTGAAATAGTTGGTTCAAAGCATAGGTTGTACGTTCGGTGGAAGAAAGGTGAAAGATACCTACCTCAATGCATAGCACCTACCATGAAGCATGGGGAGGCAGAGTGGTGTTTTGGGGTGTTTTTCTGCTGAGACGACAGGAGATATTTGCAAGATA